ATTTAGTTTTTTCTTTTGTACTAATCCTTTCTTGAGTTGTTTTGATTTATGTTCTTAAGCGGTCAGGTTTCTAAAGATCAATTAGCATTTGACCTAGAGATAGAAAAAACCGCTCGAAGAAATATAGGAAAAAACAAGAAGAAGCAAGGAAAAACAAAGGAAAAATCTTCCAATACTTACATCACACATCTGGAAACAGAAAATATTGCGGAAGAAGAACCAACCCCACCTAGAAGAACACTGGGAGGCTATGCTTAGCCTTATCAGTTCTCATCAATTCACTGGAATGGATAATGAAGATCCATATATTCATCTTTCTACGTTCTATGAACTGATAGGAACTATGGGATTTGAAGAAAGAGATCTTGACCATGTATATATGTGTTTGTTTCCTTTTTCTTTAAAAGGCAAAGAAAAGGAATGACTTAAATCACATCCAAACCAAAGTCTGAACAAGTGGAGTGATGTAGAAGATAAATTCTTGAATAGATTCTTTCGACCTTCTCGTTACATTAAGGCAAAAGCTGAGATTTCTACTTTTAGGCAAGGACCAGATGAGCCATTCTGGGAAGCTTGGGAATGATTTAATTCTTTATTGAGGAGATGCCCAAATCATGGGTTTGAAGATATTGGTCAACTAAATATTTTCTGCAATGGGGTTTGAGGCCAGACACAAAAATGATATTAGATGCAACAGTTGGAGGAACAATGATGTATGTAAGAAACAAGAATAATTGAGGCACTAACATCTACAGACCATCAAGCTCAACATAATAGAAAAACAATTCAACAGAAAGGTATGCTTGATCTTAGTACTACAAATGCAATTTTAGCTCAGAATAAAATCCTGACTCAGCAGATGGAAGGATTAACCAAACAAATGGCTAATTTATCTGAGCAGTTGAAAGAAGTACAATCTTCTCCCTGTCAACAACCCATGAGATGTAACTTCTGTGGAGATGACCATCCCAATGGTCATTGTTCATATCAAAGTAGTCCACAAGAAGGAGAAGTTCAATATATGAGCAATCAAAGAAGAACATGTAATTTCTCTAACAACAATAACTTTTCACAAGGGTGGAGAAACAATCAAAGTCAGAATTTTGGATGGAAACAAGATGTTGGTCCTTCAAATAGACAACCTCCTTATCAGCATCAACAACAAAATCCATCTGTGTATGAAAGAACAACCAAATTGGAGGATACTTTAGAAAAATTCATGCAAGCATCTATAACCAATCAGAAAAATACAGAAGCTTCAATCAGAAATCTTGAAACACAGGTTGGATAGTTGGCTAAACAACTATCAGATCAACATGCAAGTCATGTTTCAGCCAACACCCAAACTAATCCCAAGGAGCATTGTAAATCAATTACTACCAAGAGTGGTAAAATTGTAAATCCATTACTATTGATCTCTTGTAGAAAGTGTGAAAGCTCCAAGAATTCATCAAGAAGACCGTGGTGTTCATCTTTGGTGATTGCTTGACGAGAAAGAATCTGTGTGCTCTTACTGTCTGATCAACATGCACTTGAGGTGTCTATTTTGTGATCATTTTGTGTCAATCTTGTGAAGATTGGAGTTGCTCTGTTGTGACTACAGGAAGAGGACGTGTTGCGTTCTGGACTTTGAGGGGTTTCTCAAAGGGTTGAAGATGGTAGGAGAGGGGTCATCTTGCTTCTGGTCTTTGTGTGTTGTATGCCTATATTTTTATTAGAGGGTTAGAGAGGTGTTTTATATTTTTGCCATGGAGGTATCTGTAAAAGCCTTGTTGTAAAAACCTTGATCATTATAGTGCATTTACTTCCTGTGGTGGAAGGACATTGGATGTAGGCTTGGCCGAACCAATATAAAAACCTAGTGTTTGATTTTTCTAACCCTACTCTATTACATTCAGTCGACTTTATTTTCATGCATTCGACTATATTCCGCTGCACTACAAAGTCTTTTTCCTTGCGTTTCAAGAAAGCTTTTAAAGGCATCTACTTTGCGAAAAATATTTAAAGAGTCGAATATCACAATTCAGTTAAAGTAGTTAGCAGCAATCAATGTAGTTAGTTGAATTTACAATTAATGCAGTCGAATCAAAATAAATGCTTGGTCAACATATTTAAAAATATAACCGTTGTAACATTTAATACAAGCATGAACAGAATTTCAAAACATAAAAAACTTAATCGAATGGCTTGCGCACATAGTTGACTTTGTAACAGTTAAAAACATAATTTTGAAAAACTTTCTCTTCAAAAATTATCACAGCACACTTTTGAAAAGTTTGTGCAAAGCCACGAGTTTTAATCGACTTACTTCATAATGAAGTCGACTTAAAACTGATATTTTGACAAAAAATAAAAGTTCAACAAAAGTGCATATGATTTTCCTTTTAAAAAAAATATGTAATGAATTCACAGATAAGATCTCATGTAAAACACAGTGAATTTGCATGCTTTGTCAAAAAGAACACAAACATGTTCTCATATATTCATAATCATGAAAGTAATGAATATGTAACACATCAACACATGTGTTATTAATTATGTGTTGTCATCATCAAAAAAACCAGAAGCTTTGAGATTGTAGGTTTAGTTAAACCAATGCTCCCCCTATCAACAATCTCAACAATCTCCCCCTTTTTTGATGATGAACAACCATGATTAATAAACAACAATGTTGTACAAATCAAATCATATATCAAAATGTATCAGAGCAAATTATCAACAAATGATCAAAATGTACCGAGCAAATGTTGAAATCTTCTCATTTTTTATTCAGAGCAAAAACATATAAATTCATATCAGAATATATCAGAGCAAACAAAATGTATATCAGAGCTCAAAATGAATATCAGAACATTCTCCCAACATTCTCCCCCTTTGTGCATTAGCAAAAAAGGTATGCAAATGGGTAATGATATTCAGATAATCAGACATGCAGAGATGCATCCATAAATATAACACAGAGATAGATTCTCCCCCTTTCATAGATAATCATATGAAAAAGATAAATTCCCCTCCTTAAGTGTACGCATGTGGAATATCTAAAATATCATGCAATGCTTTCTCTACCATTATGCATGTTTTACATTCAAAACCCAAATGCACAATGCAGCTTTCACAAAACATTTTAAAGCATGTATAAGCATGTGACAATATTGTATCATATCAGAAATTGTGCAAACACGTCAATGTAGCACAGATACAATATCAATCAACAATCTCAATATTATCTAAAGTAATTTCAATCAATTATAGAACAAAGATATATTGAAAAAGAAACAATTAGTAATATGTGATCAATAAACCGAATAACCAAATTCCAATTAATGGAATTTATAACCCCTGTTAAACAGTAATCGATTGATCCACTGTTGCAATCGATTTCATTACTTTCCATTTGAATTGAATCTCCAATTGTTCATCCAGAAGCAATGTTCCTGCAAAACCTTTCAAGATCTTTTCCAGATCAAACATTTTAGAATCATTGTAATACAAGAATTAATACAGGTATAATCTGTGCATAAATGTATGAATGCAGTATTAATCAGTAATATGTTCAACTTCATACATAACACAATCGACTTTAATCAAATATAAACCACTACTTTATACTACTATCATTTAAGATTCCTAGTTCATTTCGAATAGTATAAAATCTTTCTTTGTTCAATGATTTTTTAAAATATCAGCCCATTGATGTAAGGTATCTACATATTCGACCTTAATTTCACCCTTGAGGATGTGGTCTCATATGAAGTGATGTGTTATTTCAATATGCTTAGTTTTCGAATGAAGAACAGGATTTTTAGTCAAATTTATTTCAATATACTGTAATCTTCTAGTTGGCTCTTGATCATAAGAAGCTGAGCACAACAGCTACCAGCTGCTATGTATTCAGCTTCTGTGGTGGATAATGCCACACAAGCTTGTTTCTTTGAATGCCAATTGACTAAAGAAGATCCAAGTAGATGACAAGTGTCACTAGTGCTCTTTTTATCTAGCTTACATCCTTCAAAGTCAGAATCACTATAACCTTCAAGAAAAATATTTGTACAGTTTGGATACCACAGTCCAAGACTTTTTGTTCCTTTAAGATATTTCAAAATTCTTTTTACAGCAGTTAGGTTTGATTCTTTAGGTGAAGACTGAAATCTAGCACAAAGACATACACTGTGCATGATGTCAGGTTTATTGGCTTTAGATATAACAAAGATTCAATCATACATGTATACATCTTTTGATCAACGTCCTTACCAGCTTCATCAAGATCTAGGTAGCAGTTTGTAGCTATGGGAGTTGCAGCTTCCTTGCAATCCAGCATTTTGAATTTCTTCAACAGATCAGTATAGTACTTGGATTGGTGAATGAAAATGCCATTTTTCGCTTACTTGACTTGAAGACCAAGAAAGTAAGTAAGCTCTCCCATCATGGACATCTCAAACTCATCCTGCATAGTCTTGAAAAATTCTTTGCACAAAGTAGGATTAGTTGATCCGAAGATAATGTCATCAACATAAACTTGAACATACAATTTATCTTTATTTGAACTTTTAATGCAGAGAGTTAAGTCAACTTTACGCCTGGAGAATCCTTTCTTTACCAGAAACTCACTTAAGCACTCACACCATGACCTTGGCACTTGCTTCAACCCATACAAAGCCTTTTTGAGGTTGAATACATAGTCTGGATGTTCAAAATTCTCAAATCCTGGTGGTTGTTCCACATAAACTTCCTCTTTAATATATCCATTTAGGAATGCACTTTTGACATCCATTTGATATAGCTTGAATTTCATCACTGATGCAATAGCAAGAAGAATTTTTATTGCCTCCAGTCTAGCCACAGGTGCATATGTTTCATCATAATTGATTCCTTCCTCGTGGCAGTAGCCTTTTCCAACTAATCTTGCTTTATTTTTTGATTTCACCTGAATCATTCATCTTATTTCTGAAAACCCATTTTGTGCTTATGACCTACAGGTTATCTATTCTTGGTACCCATTCCCATACATTATTCCTCTTAAACTGGTTTAGTTCCTCTTGCATGACCATCATCCAAATTTCATCTGCAAGAGCATCTTCAACCCTTTTTGGCTCAATCTTAGACACGTATGCAACATTCATGTTGAACTGATTCAGTTGCCTTCTTGTAGACACACCTCTCGTAATATCACCAATTATGTTTCCTGTGGAGACATTTTTAGGAACTTTCCATTCCTTAACCGATTCTGTTCTGGGAGAATCGATTACGTCGTCAGAGTTCTCTTCTTCTAGAATTTCCTCATTTTCTTCCTCTTCTCCAGTAGAGTTGTCAGCTTCTATAGATTTTCTAGTCTGTTTAGGATTAACAGCGGTTTCAACATACTCATCAAACGCAACATGAACCGATTCTTCAACACACATTGTTCTCTTGTTGTATACCCGATAAACTTTGCTTGTAAATGAATATCCTATAAAAATTCCTTTATCAGCCTTGGAGTCAAACTTACCAAGGTTTTCCTTTCCAGTGTTTAGTACAAAACATTTGCATCCGAAGATCCTTAGATGTGAGATATTTAGCTTTCTTCCTTTGAATAGCTCATATGGAGTTGCTTTCAACATTGATCTTATTACAGTTCTGTACAACACATAGCATGTTGTACTTATTGCATCTTCCCATAAATAGTTTGGCATGTTCCTTTCATTCAGCATTGTTCTTGCTAACTCTTCTAATGCCCTATTCTTTCTTTCAACTATACCATTTTGTTGAGGTGTTCTAGGTGCTGAGAAATTGTGAGATATTCCCATTTCCGCACAGTATTCATCAAATGTTTTATTCTGAAATTCTTTGTCGTAGTCACTTCTAATCGATTTGATTCTGAGTTCTTTCTCATTTTGAATAATAGCAGCAAACTTCTTAAACACTTTGAATGTGTCACTCTTGGCAGGGATGAAGAAGGTACAAGTGAAGTGAGAATAGTCATCCACGATTACTAATCCATAAGAATTTCCACCTAGACTTTTCACCCTTCAGGGACCGAATAAGTCCATGTGTAGAAGTTGCAGAGGTCTGCAAGTTGACATCTTCCTTTTGTTCTTGAAGGACTGCCCAGTTTGTTTTCCCTTTTGGAATGCATCACATAATCTCTCAGAAGCGTAGCGAATGTTGGGAAGACCAATGACAAGATCCTTTGATACTAACTTGTTCAGTTGGCTCATGTTGATGTGAGCTAGTCTCTTGTGCCACAACCAGACATCATCTTCCTTAGTCATCAAACAAACGACAGACTTGAATGATGTATCTTTGAAGTCGATTATGTAGATGTTATTATGTCTTTTTCCCACAAGTAACATCTCATCAGTTGAACCGTTGTTGATCAGACAATATTTAGGTTCAAATGTAATCTTCAATCCTCTACATAGTTGACTGATGCTAAGTAGATTGTGATTTAACCCTTCAACAAGAAGTACATTTTTAATTTCATAAGAAGAAGGAGTTTTGATTTTACCTATACCGATAATCTTTCCTTTGTTGTTTTCGCCGTATGTGACATAACTAGAAGTCTTGTAAGATATACTAATGAACTTTGTTGGATCTCCTGTCATATGCCTTGAGCATCCACTGTCTAGGTACCACATGAAGCTTTTCATTCCTTGTCTCAAGCATTGCTCTGTTGTCTGAGATTTTTCCATCATGATGAGATCCCTTTCATGTACATTTTCTTTATTTTCACTTTGAATCCTGTCTTCTTTCTTCATATTGAGAAATCTCGTAAATCTTTCACCCTGCAGATTTAATCTTTGTGATCTGGAGCTGAACTTGTTGACACAAGAAACTTCTTTGTTTCGTGAAATCCCTATTTCAAAATATTCATAGATGTCGTTAGTAACAAAGTTTAATTTTGCATTGCAAGTAGCTGATATCAATTCAAAGGCAGATTCACTTATCCTTCTTGTTTGAGAAACAGAAGCCATTTTCCAGGATCAGTCGATTTAAAAGAAAACGTAATCGACTAGTTTTTCAAATATTTTATGAAAACCAGCTCTGGTGCCAATTGTTAAAAATAGAATGACTTAGTTTTCAACACCAAGAGGCGGGTGAATTGGTGAAATACAAAAACAATGTTTTCTTTAAATATTTTTCGCAAAGTAGATTCTTTTAAAAGCTTTCTTGAAACACAAGTAAAAAGACTTTGTAGTGCAGCCGAATATAGTCGAATGTGTGAAAAATAAAGTCGATTGAATGTAACAGAGTAGGGATAGAAAAATCAAACACTGGGTTTTTATACTGGTTCGACCAAGCCTACATCTAGTGTCCTTCCACCACAGGAAGCAAATGCACTATAATGATCAAGGTTTATACAACAAGGCTTTTATAGAGACCTCTACGTCAAAAATATAAAACACCTCTCTAACCCTCTAATCAAAATATAGGCATTCAACACACAAAGACCAGCAGCAAGATGTCCCCTCTCTTGCCGTCTTCAACCCTTTTATGAAACCCCTCAAAGTCCGAAACATAACACGTCTTCTTCCTGTAGCCACAACAGGGCAACTCCAATCTTCACAAGATTAATAGAAATTGATCATGAAATAGACACTCAAGTGCAGGTTGATTAGACACTAAGAGCACACAGATTCTTGTTCGTCAAGAAGCAATCACCAAAGATGAACACCACGGTCTTCTTGATGAATTCTTGGAGCTTTCACACTTTCTACAAGAGATCAATAGTCTGAAAGAAATCAATCAAATCGTTAGAATCAAAAAGTATCTACATAAATCAAATTTGCGTCTATATATAGTTTTCCATACTAATAGAGTCGAATATCACAATTCAGTTAAAGTAGTTAGCAACAATCAATGGAGTTAGTTGAATTTATAATTAATGCAGTCGAATCACAATAAATGCTTGGTCAACATATTTAAAAATATAACCATTGTAACATTTAATACAAGCATTTACAGAATTTCAAAACATAACAAACTTAGTCGAATGGCTTGCGCACATAGTCGACTTTGTAACAGTTAAAAACAGTTTTGAAAAACTTTCTCTTCAAAATTTCTCACCGCACACTTTGAAAAGGTTTGTGCAAAGCCACGAGTTTTAATTGACTTACTACATAATGAAGTCGACTTAAAATTGTTGTTTTGACACTCAATTAAAGTTCAGCAAAAGTGTATGTGGTTTTCCTTTTTCAAAACATTTGTTATGCATCACAGATAAGATCTCATGTAAAACACAGTGAATTTGCATGCTTTGACAAAAACAACACAAACATGTTCTCATATATCATAATCATGAAAGTAATGAACATGTAACACATAACACATGTGTTATTAATTATGTGTTGTCATCATCAAAAACCAGAAGCTCTGAGATTGTAGGTTCAACTAAACCAGTGCTCCCCCATCAATAATCTACACAACCGTAATTCTTGGAAGCCCAACCTTATTACAACCTTTAAAAGTCCTTGAGATTCATGTTGATTGTGTTTGTGGTTTGATTGAAAAGGACTTGCAATTTTAATTTGTTCAAATTCAGTGGAAAATGAGAGAAACACATCCTTGTTAGATTCAATAGAGAATTTCCATGGTTAGAATCAATGGTTCTTACAATTGATTGTTTTGAAAAATTTGCTGCACTTTTATCCTAATTTTATTTGATAATTGGATTCACCATTTGCTTCTGATTTTAAATCTGTAGTTTGGAATGCACAATTTGTCTTGTAAGGACTATGAAATAACCAAGTTCAAAGTTTGAGTTTTGAAAAGCTGTTGGGATCTTATTACTTTGCTTGAGGACAAGCAAGATGCTAGGTTGAGGGGAGTTGATAAGTGCAAAAAAGTAGTAAATTTTCATATGAAATTTTGGCACTTCTGTTTTAAATTGTGTACATTTGTATTAATTCGCCCCAATCTATGAAAGATGAAATATAATCATATGTTTACGAGTTTTTGATTAAAAGGAAATCATTTGATCCATATTTTGTATATGTTCCAGGTAAATTAAGAGAGAAGAGAAAATAGAGAAGAGCAACAAATCCTACAAAATTTCGTCCAAGCTAAAATGATCTCGCTTAAGCAAGATTCGTCCAAGAAGCCATTGTTAGCAAAAATCAAAGATGAAGTTTTGATGATGAACAGATTTGCACAAGTCAAGATACATAAAGACAAATTGAAGATCTCTGTATTTTATAAAACTTTTATAATAATCAAAGTTGATGTAATAGTGCTCAAATATGTATTAGGGTTGATTCTTGTAATTTATATTTGATTTATTTACTATTGAGAATCATCTACAAGCTGTTTTAATCGATTAAAACCAGTTTTAATCGATTAAAA